ATGAATTATTTATGAGTAGTAGCGAGTGGCGGAATTTCAAGCCTCTCATACATACATAAGTAAATACATACATACATATGTATGTATGTAGTACGTTCACATGCAGTCAATAGTGGTGTGCATTAACAATTTTTATTTGTTATTTGTATTATTTGAATTTTTAATTGTTGGGCGCCAGTTGTGATTTGACGATGTTTAAAGACCGCCACATGTAATCGATACCTGTCCGTAGTAGATATGACATGTGACGAACACGATCTGTAGATCTAGAAATGCTGCCGAGATCACTGCCTCGAATATAATAGATACCAATACATCAGGACTGCAGAAAGGAAAATTAACTGAGAGATGCTTTAGAGATGCTACCGATTGTGATTGTACATTGTATTCATGTTATAAAATGACTGATGAAAATTTTCATTTCGTGTATCCGTAACTCAATTCTCATGTATAAGTACATACATACTGTCCATACTATACATATGTATGTATGTATGTGCCTACTTAAGTATTTAGATTATATAATAATTATTAATGTTCTTTTCAAAGCCTACACTACTGTTTAGTACTATTTAGTGTACGGTAACATGCGATGTGGGCGTGATTATAAGTATGCATGTGTATGTACATATTTATTACTTTATACACATTTTATTTTATGCTAAAGATTTTGGGCAATTTAGCTCCAGCAGTTACTGGGATATATGTAGATAGCAGTTTTTGCATGTTTCAAAAATACTGGATTTCACTAATTTTCAATACCAACCTACATACCTTGGACTAAGAGAAATCTGACCGAAAGACAAAGAAAAAGCGGTCGAAAAAATTATAGCTGCACCACATTATGACAAGTTTCAACATACTGTATATTTTTGTTATTTAATTTTTTTTTATTATTTTATAAAAATATAGTTCTTTCTTTAATAAGTGTAAGTTTCAAACTTTATGCAATAAAAGTACCGTATAGTGGAAAATATTCAATTCAAATTTGTGCCCATAATAAAATGAAGCATTTTTGCACGTATGGCGTTTTGCACCGCGCGGATGCTTTTTCATAATTAAGACAAACAAAAAAAATTATTTCCATGTTGCCTACAATGGAATTCGAACCCTGAAATCAACAAATTGTGGCACTCAGCTACAGCCAGACATGTAAACATGCTTTATTTTTCCCCCTTCAGAGCATACTCAGATACGTGCGTGCTAAATTTTGGTATAAAATTATTATTTTCAAATACGAACATTTTTAAACAAGCTGCTTAGCGCCCACCAACGCTAAGAATCGCCAACTTGGGAAAACTGAGAAATAACTTTTCTATATCCTACAATCCAGACTTTCAGAAAAACTTGGTTCGATTCCCCAGAAAAAAAAAACAACTGAAAATGTCGTACAGGGTAATTAATCATTTCGCAGCTATCATTGACTTTACTTTGAAAAATTTACGCGTTGTCCCACAAATTACTCCATGGTTTGGAAATAAAGTCGAAAAGGTAGCGCACAAACAAATTGAGACAGAAAATATTAGTGTGTACACTGGCGCCGGATGCTTGGACACCTGCTGGCCGCTCGACGCATCCTTTTAGCCATTAAAAACAATCCGTTGTTCAAGCATACATATGTATGTATGTACAAACAGAAGTGGCAGTTCCTGCATGAATACGACTGTTCATTAGGGTGGTCCGAAATGCATGAGAAAAGGTAAAGTCGCAATTTTTATGCTCTCACCCCCTAGGATTGTTCCATACCGAAAAATAATATAGCCCCATTTTTTATTTTGAAATTAAAAAATATTCAGAGGTGACTCAATGCGCTCAAAGATTTCCATGTCTGTATTTTACATGAGGAAAAAACCACTTTTCGTAGAAATGGTATAGAATTCTTGAAAATCCATAATTTTCGATCGGAAAACTCGACCTAATTATTTATTTAACCATTTTTTTAAAGTAACTATATTTTATAGGTCCGCCAAAACTCCCAGAAAATTCCAAAAAATGCAATGGGGATAATTAAAAAATCTTTAGTAATAAAAAATGGTTAAATAAATAATTGGACATCGCTATTGTCAGTCCCCTGAAGACAAGCAGAGTTTTCTGATCGAAAAATATTGATTTCCAAGAATTCCATACCATTTCTACGAAAACTTTTTTTTTCATATAAAATACATGGAAAACCATGAGCGCTTTGAGAGACCTATAAATATTTTTTTGATTTTAAAATAAAAATAGGGGTATATTTTTCGATATAGGGGGTGAGAGCATTAAAATTCCGACTTTACTTATTTTGCACCAACCTATTGTTCATACGTCCAGGAACTATGTAGTTTTTTTGCAACATATTACCACTGCTTCATTTATTGGTAGAATATATGTAGCCGTGCATATGTAAATATTTGTTCTGGTTTTTCCAAAAAAACACAATTGTCATGCGTACTACCTATGTTTTCCCATAGAGGGGTCGTCCCTCGGCAGGAAATGCAAAATCTTCGAGGGAAAATCTCTCATGAAAAAGCTTCTTATAAAAATTCACCTATCACGCGGCGTTAAATTATAGGTCCTTCCATTTGTGGATCTACGTCCAAGACGCACGTCACAAATTAGAGTACTTAGAAGCTCTACACAAATAATTGAAAAAAATTTTATTTTTAATATTTTTATTGAGCTTTGTACCACGATTGTTTAT